GGGGGGGGGGGGGAGGAGATGCCACACCACCACCTGTGTGTCTATGCCCATTTGTACATCTACACAGCCCAAGTAGAGCTTGGGAAAGGTTTGCTTACAGGAAATAGTGGAGATGGATGAAGTGGAGGGTTCATGATAAGGTATAAGGCCTCCATTTATCAGGGTCTTATGGATTCATCAAGAATTACATTCTTGCCCTGGCCGGGTAGCTCAGTTGATTAGAGCATCGTCCAGATACCCCAAGGTTGTGGGTTTGATCCCTAGTCAGGGGATCAAATGCATAAATGAATGCATAAATTAGCGGAACGCCAAATTGATGTTTCTGTTTCCCTCTCTCTCCCTTCCTCTCTTTCTCTCTAAAATCAATAAATAAAAAAATTAAGAATTACATTCTTAGAGTGAAAAGAAAATTAAGATAGTGAATTATTTTCATAAGAATTAATGTAAAATATCAACTATAGTTATGGGGGATGCCCACAACCCAATACTTTTTTCCTTGAAACTACCCCAAACTCTTAAATAACACTTGCAAGTGAAACATAGAAATAACAGAGGAAAAATAATGAAAAACCTTAGCAATGGGCCTTAAGAACAAATACTGGGAGCCAGATAGACCTTTGTGTTAAAAGCAAAGGATTTCCATACAGGTGTGACCAAGACAGAGTGAGCTAGACCTCTGGGAAAGGCCTCTACGAACTGACGCTCCCATGCTGTTATCTAGATGACCAAGTGCAGATAGAGACTGAGGCTTGAAGATTTTGGAAGGTCTGAAGAGCCACACTTATTTCATCTTTTTTTTAGACAATACAGGAAAGATCAAGGGATGATTGATTCCTTCTGACTCCTAGTTAGAAAAACCACAGTCTAATCCATTTTCATTTTCTCCCTGCTAAGCCACTTTTAACCTACCCACGTATTTACAACAGAGTAAGGCCACTGATGTGGGAAAGTTGGACATAATTTAGCAATGTAGGTGTCAAATAAAAAAATAATGATTTTAATTATAATGCAAAGTCCTTATACTGACGGGCAATTTATGAGTGGGCATTTGAGAGCGTTGTGGAAACAAGCTGAGCTGGGTTCACATTCTACTTTCAGCCATTTGTCAGCTGTGTAACCTTGGGCAAGTCACTGGACCTCTCTGAGCCTTCTCGTATCTTAACGATGGGGCTAAGAATGCTTCCTTTACAGGGCCCTGGGAAGGATTAAATGAGATAAAGGGTATAAGCACTTAGCACAATGTCCAGTGCTTAATAACAATAATAATAGCTGTAATACCCTTACCATTAATTGTAATAGTATGTACTATTTCTGGAATGCCAGATCGTTTTAGTCTTCACAGCAAGTAATGGGACAAGGAATCTCTCCATTTTACAGATGATCTAAACTGACTGAGCCTCAGAAAAGTTAAGAGGATTTCGTCATTGTCACTCAGATCCCAAGGGTAGGAGTAGAAATTAAAATCTAGTTTTGATTGACCCCAGAAGACTGCTCTTTTGACCTGGGCTATAAAAAAAATGTGCTTTGATTTCAATAGGAGAAAGGATCGATGTTTTACGATTGATCTTATGATTGATCAAAAATGCTTTTTGCTGGCTTCTCAAATCCTTTATTCTGAGATTTCATGTTACAGAACACTGGTAGAAAACTAACGATTTCTCTTGGATCTTTGATATGTGCTGTGTTCATACTAAACTTACAAGAACAAGCTGTCTTTTTTCTTCAAAATAAATCTATATTGTTTTTAAGCTCTTTTTTCTTTCCAGGGAAGCCTCTGACACTTTTGCCTGGTACTCCACAGACTCCTAGCTGCTCTAAACTCCTGCACTTTCTTCCAAAATGATCTTATGCCTTCTCATGGCTTCACATTCTGCCTGGAACTTTCCCACATGTATCTCTCAACTTAAATCTCCTTCAGTCTCATATTTCCTATTGTCCATGTGCCATTTCCAGTTGGATGTCTCAGAGACATTTCAAACTCATGATGCTTAAAATTAATTCTGGATTCCTCCCCCATTAATGTCCCATGAATTTAAAAAAGCTTCAGTCTTCCTGAATCTTCCCTGTCACAATTAATGTCTCCGTCATCTACTCAGAGGGCCAATTCCAAAACCTGGGAGTCATCTTTGAGCCCAGTACATCTAGCCTCAAGGTCCCTTCTCATGACCGTGTCAACAGCAAGTGCTTTGGTTTTCTCCCTCCACATACATTGTTCCTCTCAGATGCCATCATCTCATCCTAAGTCACCAAGAGCTCTTGTCCTAACCCAGCTCCTGCCCAGCTCAAATGAGTGCTCCACACGTCACTAACATGGCTGTTACTCTCCTACTTAAAACCATCCAAATCTTTCCAATGTACTTAAAATGAAGCCCAGACCTCCTGTCATAGCTTCTGAGGCCCTCTTACCTGGTGAGACCTCACCTGCCCCTTCCTGATGACTCTCTCCAACTGCAGAGACCTTTGCCAACTTTGAGTCATGTTTAATTCTCTCCTTCCACCACCACTATGTCTTTCCACATATTTTTTCTCATGTCACTATATCCCACCCCTTCCCAAGCTTGCACTCATGGTGTGTGTCTCAATTCATACCATTTGCGTATGACTGACGCCCTCTTGCCCTCCAGGTCTAAATTCTAAAATCACCTTCTCAGACACACACCTTCTTTATCTGAACAACCTAGGAACGTTCTGCTCTGTTTTCTTCATCACTGTACCCGGTTTTCTTTGTAGCCCTTATCATAAGTTGGTACTTATTTAAACATTTATTTACTTAACTGATTTCCTTACTGGATTTCAGTCTCTCTGGCTGGGCTGTAAGCTCCAGAGGTCAGGGGCTCTGTCAGGTTAGCTCAGTTCCACATGTAGCACAGCACTGAGCACATAGTATTTGCTCAATAAATATTTACTATTGTGTGGCAGGACAGTTGTGCTTTTGCTTTCCTTTCTTCCTCCCTCTGCTCTGAGACTCCAGAAATTTCCAAGGCACTTGACCAAGGAAATAGCAACTCAACTCACGGAAGAGTAAAGAGACCAAGACTCATTTGGCAATAGTAACACTTGGAGCCGTGCTAAAAAGCCTTCGCTCTTAGCACTGGGCAAGTTCCAATGGTCCTGTAGGTGCTTGGCCCAGAGGCCAGACAGGGATGGGAACTTTCCTTTAATGTCTCTTCCTCCTGCAGAGACTCCAAGTCCAGTTTTTTCTCCTTCAGGGAAAAAAACAACAATGGAAGCTAACTGGCTGCCGGATTGGCTTGAAGAAGAGGAGGGATGTGGTAGGGGCAGAATTGGCTCTGAGAACACCCTCAAGGTAAGGGCTTTTGTACTTGTCTTCAATGCCAGTTGATACCAGACGTGGCCTTCCCATCAGACATGGCCCTTTTTTTGAGGCCCCACCCCCAAAACCTCCACAGGGAAAGTAAGAAAAGAATTGGAGTGATCTGGGAAAAAAAAAATCACATCGAGAGCTGCATACACATCAAGGATAATGGGGACCGGTGACCCTCCCACCTTGTCCTCAGGGAGGGCAGACCTCACCGGGTTTTCTTGGAGGCTGAACAGTCCCTTTTCTGTGCAGCAGGGTGATGTCACCAGCTCATCGCCTGGGTTGGACCTGGGCTTCTGAAAGGGCTATTTAAGAAGAAGCCCACATTTATAGGCAGGGAATAGGAACTATAAAAATATTGCCTTTAGTCAAAAAGTGTTTTGGTGAGGATTTAAAAACTGTCACCAGGGTTTTACTTTCTTTAATAAATTGCTGTTTACAACACATCCCCTGACCCTCCTGTGTAATTGGTGTAT